GGCTTCCAAGGTGTTGCGGGCGGTGGTGCTGGGTCCCCCCGGCTCCGGGAAGGGGACGGTTTGCGAGAGGATCGCCCGCAGCTTCGGGCTCCAGCACCTCTCCAGCGGCCAATTCCTGCGGGAGAGCCTCGGCGGGGGTGGCGGTGAGTGGGATGGGATGGGGATGGGATACGGACCCCCCACCCCGTGGATACGCCACGGGTCGTTTTCTTTGCGTGGGGTTGGCGCGACTCGTTGATCGCCTTCGCCCTCCAGCCTGAGCTCACGGAGTTGCCCGGTAAGAGCGGGGTCTGATACCGTGGGGAGCCCTGGGTATGGAATGGCTTCGTCCCTGCGCTGGGTGGGTGGTGGGTTCGGCTTTGGAGAGGCCGGTGTGACCGTGGAATAGCTTCATCTCTACACCGGGTGGCTTCGGTGTGACCGTGGAATAGCTTCATCCCTACACCGGGTGGGTTCGGCTCCGGAGAAACTGGTGTGACCATGGAATAGCTTCATCCCTGCGCCAGGTTGGTTCAGCTCCGGAGAAACTGGTGTGATCGTGGAACAGCTTCATCCCTGCGCTGGGTGGGTGGTGGGTTCAGCTCCGGAGAAACTGGTGTGACCATGGAATATCTTCATCCGTGCGCTGGGTGGGTTTGGCTCTGGAGAAGCCAGTGTGACCATGGAGTAGTTTCATCCCTGTGCTGGGTGGGTGGTGGGTTCGGCTTCGGAGAGGCCAGTGTGACCAGGGAACAGCTTCATCCCTACACCGGGTGGGTTTGGCTCGGAGAAACCAGTGTGACCATGGAATAGCTTCATACATGCACTGGGTGGGTGGTGGGTTCAGCTCCAGCGAAGCCGGTGTGACCATGGAATAGCTTCATCGCTGTGCTGGGTCAGTGGTGGGTTTTGCTCCGGAGAGTCTGGTATGACCGTGGAATAGCTTCATGCCTGTGCTGGGTCGGTGGTGGGTTCAGCTCTGGAGAAACCGGTATGGCTGTGGAATAGCTTCATGCCTGTGCTGGGTGGGTGGTGGGTTCGCCTCTGGAGAAGCCGGTGTGACCATGGAATAGCCTTATCCCTGTGCCAGGTAGGTTCAGCTCCAGAGAAACCAGTGTGACCATGGAATAGCTTCATATGTGCATTGGGTGGGTTGTGCGTATGGCTCTGGAGAGGCTGTTGTGACCACAGAACAGTGTCATCCCTGTACTGGGTGGGTTTGGCTCTGGAGAAGCCAGTGTGACCATGGAGTATCTTCATCCCTGTGCTGGGTGGGTGGTGGGTATGGCTCTGGAGAAGCCAGTGTGACCATGGAATAGCTTCATCCCTGCACCGGGTGGGTTGTGGGTATGGCTCTGGAGAAGCCAGTTTGGCCATAGAATAGCCTTATCCCTGCACCAGGTGGGTGGTGGGTATGGCTCAAGAGAAGCTGGTGTGACCATGGAATAGCTTCATCCCTGTGCCGGGTGAGTTCAGCTCCGGAGAAACCAGTGTGACCACGGAATAGCTTCATCCCTGTGCCAAGTGGGTGGTGGGTTCAGCTCTGGAGAAACCGGTGTGAGCATGGTATGGCTTCATGTCTGCACCGAGTGGGTTCAGCTCTGGAGAAGCCGGTGTGAACAACCCGCCTGCTCGTGCCCTGAAGGTTAACGGCGGTGTCTGGGGATGCCGGTCGCGTGTTATTAATAATTTAATCCTGTCTCAGGTAGCTGTACAGGAACAGGGTAAAAACTGCCGATGGTGGGCGGCGGATGGCTGAAACGCGGTGCCGGTGGGACACCCACGGTGGGAGGGATGGCCTGGGAACCCCACGGGGTTTGACATCCAGGCCTGAAGCCCTCAGGAGAGGGAACTGCTGGTCTTGGCCGTGTTCGCGCCCCGGGCAGTGCTGTTGGGTGCTGAGATGCTCCCCAGCCCCGGCCGGGCTCGGGAGCGGCCGGGCTGCACCCCGACTTGCATCACCCTGCAGCTGCCATTAGGCAATCCCAGCGTATTTCTTTTTCCAGCAGCTCCTTCTCTCCTCTGCTGATGTGTGAAAGACCAACCCAGAGGGGAAGCTGACTCACCAGGCAGAGGAACGGTAAAACGGCGTTGGAACAAAACAAGCTGAGAGAACCCAGAAGTGATTTCCCTTTTCAGAAGGGTCGCAAAGAGAGGGGAAAAAAGGAAGAGAGGGGAAAGTTTTGGAGAGCTGCTGCGCTCTCTGGCAGGGGCGTTGCACACAGCCCTGCCCCAGCCGCTCATTTAAAAATACCCAGATTTCCTTTCATAAATAAAAAGGATAATAATATTTCCTTTGGAGGGAGGCTCAAAATGAGGAAGATCCCGATGACTGCTTTGGCGGAGGGACAAAAGACCTGGGCGAGAAGCAAGCAGAGGCGCAGCCAACCTGGGAACGTGCACGACCAAGGTCTGAGCGAGTGGCTTTCCTGGATTTTGCGTTTCCGCTCATACCCCTGCTGTAGAGCTGCTCTGGGGTCGCTGGGGAAGGAAGAAGGGGCTGTGGACTGAGTTAGCCGGAGGTGTTTCCCAAAGCGCGTCGGGCAAATTCAGTTTCCCAAAGGAAACAACACCGAGAAACGTGGGAGAGATTACTCAGAAGTAAAGGAGCCTTGGTTCGGCGCAGCTGGCGTGACGTTCGCGTCCCACCTTTGGCTCAGCCTCTGGGTACAGCTCTCGGTAAGCTGCAGCTATTTGCTATTTTTCTTTCGCTGTTTGCTTTGGACGAGCTGTTACACGACGGCGCTGCGGTGAGGCAGCTCCGGGGGAGGCTGGGTGGAAGCAGACTCTCCTCCGGAGTCGATCGTCTGCGCCGCTGGCTTTGCGTTTTAGGGGACCCGGCACGCGTTACAGCATCGTCGTCCCGAAGGGACCCGTCGGTCCGGTGTTTATAGACTAATCTCGGTCCGAGGACGGCAGGCAGGCGTCGATGCACGGCGGATTTTCCTGCTTGCCCTTGCAAGGCGTGAAGTAGCCGTGGATGTAGGGTTCAGGCTCCAGCTGCTGGAGAAAGCCCGAGCTGCCCGGCGTGGAGACCGTGCCCAGCTCGCCGTCGGTGTCAGCAGCCTCGGGGACCCAGGGCTTGGCTTTGCAGCCGAGCGAAGTGGCTGAATTACTTGAAGTTTTGTGACAGCGACCCTACGAGTACATCCGCTACCGCACGTGTGGCTGTTATTTAGTGTTTTGCTTAGCGAGTGGCTGTTCTGCTGTAGGAAAGGGCCTTTTTGGGATCTGGGACTACTTAGGAATTGGTTTTGGTGCTAGGCAGGGGTGCTGGTGGGCGGTGGGCGCTTTCCTCGGCCAGTGCTTGCCCCGGTACCCAGGTGGTCGTCTCTGGTGTTGGCAGCATCCCGGGGGTCTTCGCGGCGGGGCGGGTTCTCGCGCCTTG